TTTAGGAGGAAAAGTCTGTTGGGCAACTACAAATTTGTAACTTGCTGATATGATTGGAAGGTTTCCAAGAAGGAAGCAGGGAGAGCAGCTCCCAGCAGTCCGTGTGTCCATTTTCATAAGAAATTCCTCTTCTCTCTCTTGACTGAGCCTCCAGGAAAAACGGTTAAGTCAAAGATGTGGCTTGTCATCCCACCCCCTGGTCTTCATGTGGCTGCATCCCCACCATAAATCAAAGGCCATGTTCCCCTTTCATCAGATGCCTTAGGTAATTCCCTTGCGATTTCCCTGCTGGGGCTCAGAGGGCCACAGCCTAAAGGGTTAACATCTCATTTCCTCTCGTCTTTCAAGCCTTAAGCCCCATCCTGAGCTGGGTACATTCCAAGCCCACCTGGAGCAGGTCATGACGAGCCCCAGCCCACGGCTGGCCCTTCATTTCCCCTGGCAGGAGATTAGATGGGGCGCCCATTAATCACTCATTACTTCTGTCCTCGCTGCTGGCCAGCCCTCGGGCAGCCAGCCAGCTGCCTGGGAGGGTGGGGCAGGCCCGCCTGCTGCCCAGCCCAGGTTGTGGGCTGCCCAGTGCCACCCTTCTGGGGCAAGACACCACGCAGCGTAAGCCTGACTCTCTGTCCTCTGAACCACACCCAAGAGGAGAGGAGCAAAGAGAGGATACTGCCAGAGAGAAAACCATGTGAGTGATCAGCTCAGGCAAGGCCCATCGGAGAAGACAACGCGCACAGTACCTTGCATTGAAAGATCAGGTAAAAAGAAAAAGAGACCATTCTCCCAGGACAACAAACCATCCATAAAGAAAACCACTGCCTACGTGTTTCTTAGTTTCTTCTTTAGGAATCTAAAAGGAAACTGGAGGAGGAGAGTAGAGAGGGGAGAGGATGTTGAACGGATAACTCATTATCATTATTACTGATTAATGATTATTAGTTCATTTGCTGGGTTTGAATATACGGCTGCAATATTCAGCCCATTTCTTACCCCAGGCAACTTGGGGCTCCCAAGCCAACCCAGCCTTATCCTTCTCCCTCAGCACTTGCTCAGGCCCAGAAATAAATTCACAGTGAGCCTGACCAGGGCTAGGCTTACACGCCTTTGTAGGGAGCAGGTGAGGAGCATGCTCCCAGGACTGAACTGAAGACCCCTTTGACCAAAAGAGTGCTCTCCCCTTGGCCTGGGCCACAGTGCTCCAATGCTCACTCCTTGGAATCAAGGTCAAGGCCTCTGTTGACAAGGACATGCTACCTGGGATAAAGTGGCTTATTAACTCACCAGCTGTGACTAGAACCTCACTGTAAAGGCAGCCTAGGGCTGTGGTCCTCAAACCCAAACATGCAGCAGAATCACCAGGGAATCTTACAAATGCCAGTTCCCAGGCCCTGACTCCACCATGGAATCTGGTATTTTCCCCACCAGATCCTCGCTCTGATTCAGATGTTCCGAAGACAACACTTTCAGGAAATATTGACACAGTGGAAAGAGCACCAGACTTAGAGAGCCAGGTTCTAAGCTTAAGTTCAAAACCCGAGTTGACCTCAGGCAAGGAAGCCGGAGTTTTCTTCCTTGTAAGATGCAGATGATAATGTCTGGTCACAGGTTGCTGGGCGGATTAAAGCACCAAGTACAGCACATACCAGTGCTCCATGAACGTGACCTGAATGAGTTCCTCGGGCCAGCAGGGCTCTAGAAACCAGAGAAGTCAGTTTTGATAGGTTGGGGAAAGAAAAGAGGGTAAGCCAGGCCCAGAAGATGAGGGGGGCCCAGCCTCGTGCACAGGTCCCACAGAGGAGGAGTGAAGAGCGGGCATCCTGAAAGGGGTCAAGAGTCAGCGACGCAGCCTCCAGCCAGAGCCTCCCACTGAAGCCCCCCTTTCCAGTGTCAGCCTGTGTCAGGCATTAGCTCCCATTTCTAATTCATTATTTTCACAGAGAAGACAATCAATAAACACACACGAAACCTTTATATCCACACATATGTAAACAGATATCACAATTCTACACACACAAAAAAGGAAAGATAAAAATGGGGAAAATGAGAGAAGAGGAGAAAGAAGGGAAAAGCGAGATGGCAGGTCAAACCCGGTTGCATTTTCAAGTTTGCTGGATCTGGTAAGGAGCTCACACTGGGCTACACAGCCTGGGACAGGCCCCAGGAGGAGAGGCGAAGGGGCTGCCCTGGAGACACTTCAGGTTGGCTGGGGAGATGAGGCTCACCCATTAGGACATGTCGAGGCTGAAGAGACTACAGGGGAACACATAAGATGGGTTCGGGGAAGGGAGAGACGGGTGAGCACAAGAAGGGCTGAGACACACTTCTGCCAAAATTTAGATTAGTAGAGGGGAGATGTGAATTTCTGAGCTGAGGGTAGGGCCCAGATAAAGACAAGACCCAGATAAAGAGACTTGGTGTGTGCAGTGAAGGGTTTCAAGGAGAAAAGAGTTGGGCTGCTCTTGGAACATAAAGTAGACTCAAATTAAGACAAGTTTCAAATGCCCAGATGAAGAATGACCTTGATTCAACCACATCCATACCAGGACTTTCATATCTCCAGGTCTTTGCTCAAGTACTTCGCTCTGCCTGGCATGCCCTCCCTTGTTCTAGCCTTTCCCACCTCTTGAACTCCTCTTCATGCTTCAAAGCCCCACTGTAACTTTCCTAGCTCCTCCCATGCAGAAAAAATTACTCCCTCATCTGTGTCTCCTTGATGTTTTCCACATCCCCAATGTTTTTCATTGTTTTGTGGTTATTTCTTTACATCTGTTTCTCTCCCAGGTGTCTATTTATCATCTCTAGCCTGACAACAAATGGGGGGCAGAGATATTGTCTTGTTCTTAGTGTAAGCCCCAGCACATAGTAACAGTCCCTGGCACAAAGCAGATGCCCAAAAACATGGGTTGGAGAAGAATTAAATAGAAGTGAAGACTGGGGAGCCACTGTGATTTCTTGAGAGGAATGATGTGGTGAAATCAGAATTTCAGGAATATTAATCTGTCAGCATGAAAGAAGATGGATTAAAATGAAGAAAGCGACTCATGTCCGGGAGTCAAGAGGGGAGATTATTACTGTAATGTGGACATGGTTTAAAGAGCAGGCACAGGGAATGGAGACAGGAAAATAATGCCCTGCGATATCACAGAAGAATGTGGAAGGGACTTGGGAATGAATGAGCCATCAATGTGGGGGGTGGGATGGGTGAGCCGGGGGCACTCAAACATGGAGACTCCCAGCCAAATGGGAGAAAGGTGATGCCATGGAGAGAAACATGGGGGACCGAGAAGAACAGGGGCAACAGCCAGCCTCTCTTTAGGATAACTGATAGCAATCACAATAAGCATTTCTAGGGGAAAGCAAAAACAAAAACAAACCTCCAAGTCAAAATATAAACCCCTGATGTTACTCTCAAACTCTGGGCTGTATTTTATTTCATTTATTTTTTCCTAACAGCCAGCTAGAAATATTTCTTCACGGCAGGGGAGATGGAAATGAAGATAAGATCCACCTGGTGCCCTGCTCCATGCTGGGCATGGAGGAGACAACACAAGCTCAAAGGACCAGCCCTCCCTACAAGCGGCCAGCCAGCTGGGTGCTTATTCAGTAGCGTCTCCCTTATCCTCATCACCTGAACTCATTTCCCAGGCCAGGCCCTCCGGGAAACCCCTGCTCCAGCCCTGCAGAGGTTTATAGGAAAGTCCCAGGGTTCCCATGTGCTTCCTTGCATTAATTCCAGGGCTAGGATTTTGTTTTCTAAAGGAATTCAACTATGGTGCCAACAAAAATCTATAGGAATTAAGCAATACTATATTTAAATCAATTTTTTTAAATGTTTGCTTCCTTGTATATTGAAACCAGGTAAGATCCTCTTAAACTCAACCACTTCTTCACCTTTATCAAAAACATGCAGGTTATGCAGGTTTTAAGGGCTGTGTGATCTCTGAAAACTCTTTCAACTATTCTGTGCCCGGGTGCCTTCAGCTGTGAAACGACAGGTGGACAAGACGACTCCATAGACCTCTCTTGGGTCTCTATTTCTCTTATTCCAAATTCCAATATGATGACTTCAGGTACCCAGGTACAAGGCTTCAGGTGCACTCACTGCCTGCAAAGGGGCGAAGGGGTGCGCGGTGGGGGTCACAAAGGAGACGGAAGAGCCTCAAGCGGGCACATTTAATAGGCAGTAGTGGAGGCTGGGGGGCGCGGGGCCGGGTGTAGACTGCTTAGGAAACACCAGCCCTACAAATTCCAGATGCTAAGTCGGCCCGAGAACGCCCTGAATGCCCTTCCCAAGTTAGGGCTGATGTTACTTCAAAGAAACAAATGGTAACTTCCGTATCTCTAAAGCTCCAAGGTGAGCTAGTTCTGTAAAAGCTAATTCTTTCAGCGCGCCAAGAGACTGCAGGTACTGGGACTGCACTTGAGGAAGTGTCCAGAGTTGGCGGAAACAGCCCATCCACTCCCTCTCCCAGAGGCGCGGGGTTGCAGCGGCTTAGCTGAGACACACACAGATTGGAGGCTTTCTAGAAAACGGCGTGGCCAGGCCCCGGGCTGGGGCTCCTTCGCACCGACTGAGGCTGGACCAGCGCTCTAGCCCCAAGCAGGACGTAGGCGAGGCTGGGATGGGGGCGCACAGGCTGGGTGTGCACTCTCCGGTCCCCTTGGTCTCGACCCAGCGGGCGCGGGCCCCGACTCGGGGACGGCCCAGGTGGACTGTCCCTAGACTTTCCGAGTTGGCGGGGTGAGCACTGGCGCCGGGACAGAGCAAATCCCCCAGGAAGGGAAGAGGAGGAGAGAAGAAGGCGCACCGTCGGCACAGACCAGGCGCGCGCGGGCTCCCGGAGCCCGGTGCGGGCACAGCCCCCGGCGCCCCGGACACACCCACCGCGCCCCGCCGCCCGCGCCAGCCCGCCCTGCGGTCCAGAGAGCCCCGAAGGCGGGCAGCGGCCAGGCCGGGTCGCGGGTGGCGCGCAGAGGTCGCGGGCGGCTCTGCTCACCTGGCGGTCCGCGTCCCGGAGCGGCCGGTGGCCGCCTCGCCTCGCCCCCGCGTGGTTCCCGGCGCCGGGCAGCCCCGAGCCCGCCGCATGGACGGCCGCCGCCGCCGCCCCGCGCCCGCCCTGAACGGGCTCCCGCTGCGCCCCGGTTCCGCGTCGGGCTGCGCGGGCGGCCAGCGGCTCGGGCGCGCGCGGAGAACGCTGGCTCGGAGTTTGCGATCCGAGCGCCGGGATCCGCGCTCCCTCGGTCCCTCCTCCCTCCCCCACTCGCGGCCTCCTGCTGTCATCTGGAGCCGCTCCTGCCGCCCCCTGGCGGCCGCCTCGGGAAGGACCGGCCCCCCCGACCCACCCCCGCGACCCCAGAGGGGCCCCTTAGAACCATAAACGAGACTGATCCTTGGGTACCGAGATAACAGACATCATCCCGTAGAGGGGAAGACAGTCTAGACCAAGGCAACGAGGGCAGGAGGGTGGTGAGAGTGAAAGGAAGAGTGGTCCAGGCTGGCCGGGCCCGGCCGAGGGGAGAAGGGGTGAGACCAGGAGGTAAGCTAGGGTCAGCTGGTGGAAGGATTGAATTCCGCGTTAATCTGATCCTGAGGTTTGTGGGAGCCATGGGAGGATCGAAGCGCAGGAGAGACGTGGGCATCCTTGCGTTTTGGAACAGCCATTCTGGCTGCATCGGGAATGGGCTGAGGCTGAAACAAGGAGCAAGCAAGGAAACTTTTGCTGTAAACCAGAGCAGAGAAGGCGGTGACTGTAAGGACAGGGGAGGAGCCCTCGTCTAGGGGGCACACACAGTCACCCTCACTTGCGTACTCACACACAAGATAGACTCACTGGGCTCCTTCTGAAGGCGGGGAAAAGGCCAAGAGGCCCCTGAATTCTAACTTGGGTTAGCATGGGGGCGAGAGAAAACACACTCCCTGACAGCCAGAGCCGTCCAGCCTTGCTTCTTGTCTTACTCAGGGTAACACTGTGTGCGAACAAAAAAAGCCTGCTGCCAATAATAATAATAAGCATAATTAATAATAAAGACCACACTTTGATCTGTATATCCAAGGCCTTCTTTTCACTAATTGGGAAATACTGTCCCAAGAAGGGCATGACCCAAGTTACACAGCTAATTAATGGCAGGAGAAGTAGGAGAGGCCAGTTTCTTGACTCCTAATGCGGTGCCACATTCTTTAAATTCAAGAGAGGTGGGAAATAGAGCGACTGTGAGAAAATATCCCTCCTCCCCTGGGAGGGGTGCTGGGGGGTGACCAACATTGGAAGAAGCTGTCCAGACCCAGGTATTCTCGTACCTGTGAGTCAGCCTGTTTGTTTATAACTACCTCTGAAGCCGGCCTGCGGGAGCTGTTTTGAAAGTGCAGGTGCCCGCGTAGGACAAGAAGGCAATGGTGGAATACGAGCTCCCTGCCCCAGAGCCAGGCCCCACCACGCCTGGGCGTGGCGTGTGGGGGCAGAAAGGAGAGCAGCCCGGCAGATGGCTCCAGGAAAAAAATTAACGAAAGAGAAAGTGGCAACCCAAAAGGTTAGGCCAAGGAAAGAGAACCCGCTCTGGGGGCTGACTACTGGCTCCGGCCTGCTCAGAGCCAGCTCTGACTGACTCAGGCCGCTGCAAATGGGATGAAATAACTCTACGCTTGATCAAACAGATTTTGATTGGAGGTACCTGGTATGATTGGGATTAAATTAATTCTGAGTGTCACAAGTCCCTTGGGTCCAGATCAAGTGGATCTAATAGCCCCAATAAATTCTGATCAGTTTAAATCATTTAAAATGAGAAAAATTAGACAACATTGGACTGTACTTAATGCCACTGAAATGTACACCTAAAAATAGTTAAAATGGTAAATTTTATGTAATCCATATTTTACCACAATTATAAAAATGAAAGCAAAACTAATAAAACTTGTTCAAATTGGATTGATTTATGAGTTCATTGAAGAGGCCTGCACTGAGTGTGGAGTAGGGCCTTGGTGCTAGAAGGTAAAGATGGAATGAAAATGTTCCAGTCCACAAGAAGCTCAGAATAAGGTGAGAAGGGTGTGATCTAGTCAGAAAATCATACTAGTAGGTGGTAGGTATAATTGGGGGATACGCAGGAATATCTGAGGACACTTGGGAGGAGAGCGGAAATCTGGGATATTGTGCCTGAGCTGAGTCTTAAAGGAGAAGGAGAGGTCATGAGGCGGGTATGGTATGAACAGGCCTTAGGAGCAAAGGATACGGGGTTTTTTAAAACTAATTTTAGACTTACAGATCAGTTGCGAAAGTAGTACAAAGAATTCCCTTGTATCTCCCACCCTTCTTGCCTTAATTATTATTGACCAAACTTGATCCAACTGACCTAGGCTGGCTCTTCAGAACTGACTCTGATCCACTGCCAACTTGATCAAATTATTGTGACTATATTTTGTTTACATGTCACAAAATATTTTCTTTATTTAGAGTCAAGACTATATTTTGAAATCTAGTCTCATTTTAATCAAAGAGATACTTACATTATGTGTGGGCACCAATGAATATTAATTATCCAAAAACAGCGAGTTTGTAACCTTTCACTTGTGTTGTGTTTCTCCTTCTCTCCAAGTGTGTGTGTGCACATGAGTCAGATGGGCAGGATTTGGTCCTCATGTAGGAGATAAGCTACTAACCTGCACCAACAGAAGGGCGAAGGAGTAGGTGCCTCAGATCACAGAGGCCACCCCACAGCCATCTAGCCTAGGCGTCTCCCTAGCACATCAGTGTCTTCTATACACAATACCTTGGTGGGGGGAACAGGGTGGGGGGGATGTTAGTCACCCTCTTATCTATCTGCAGTGACAAGGCGCTCACTACCTCACAAAATAGCCCATACTGTTATTGGAGGCTCTCTGTTAGAAAGCCCCTTTGAATTGTGGGCTGAAACCTTTTTCCCCATGACTACTACCCATGGGCCCTAGAGGTGGCTCCTAAAATGACAGACAGAAAACATAACTCCTCAGGGGCCGGCCCAGTGGCGCAGCAGTTAAGTTCGCAGGTTCCGTTTCGGTGGCCCGGGGTTCGCCGGTTCGGATCCCAGGTGCGGACATGGCACCACTTGTCAAGCCGTGCTGTGGCAGGCGTCCCACATATAAAGTAAGGAAGATGGGCACAGATGTGAGCTCAGGGCCAGTCTTCCTCAGCAAAAAGAGGAGGATTGGCAGCAGATGTTAGCTCAGGGCTAATTTTACACACACTCACACAAACATAACTCCTCTATCCTGTGTCAGCTCTGTATATGTAGGACAGTCTTAGTTTACATCTGTTGTCCCAGTGTAATTATTAAGAGCTCCCCTTTGCTCCGTTGTGCCAGATAGGATGACATCTGATGATCTGGTCATCCTACAGAAGACTGCCAGCACCCCCCTCGCTAAGTCCGCCCTCTGCCTAAAGCCACATCCTCAGCCTTCAGCCATTTTCCTGGGGTCCCCAGCCTGGAGCACGGTGTTGGCACATGGTGAGTGCTGCTAGATGTTTGAGGACGAATGGCATACGGCTGAGAGCAACGTCCTGGGATTTCAGAGCATGTGGAGCTGGAGTAAGAGCACAGTGTGAACAGACCACAGTGAGGCAACTCAGGACAACCGAACCTTTCCGGGGAAAACGCACGAGTAACTCAGCTTCTTCCCTTCACTAGTCAGCACGACCGTGCATCCTTTCACCAGCAGAGCATTTCTCGAGGCCAGAGTTCCAAACATTACACTGATAAACACTGCTCTGAGCTCTGGACAAATGCTAGTGTTTTCACCTAATGGCATGTCAGGGGGGCTGTGTCCCAGTGGGGAAGGAAACCCCCATATTATCTCTACTTTGTTAGCATTTGGAGGGGAAGGGAAATAGACATTTATTCAAACCCCTAATTTCAGGCTCCAGCGAGATACCAGGGTCCATCACGATGCTTGCGAAATTGTTCCTTTCATTTTCTTGGTTGTAAACTTCTGTAGACTGTAAAGTTGAAGCAAGCTTGTTCTCAGCAAATAATAAGGAAATAAGGAAGCGTGGTAAACAACACAAAACACAACCTTTGGGAGCTGACACACTTGTTGTTGTTTTAAGCAGTTTCTAAGTACCTCCGGTGAACGCTAGGAAGCCTTCTCTCCTCTGCTTGCCTCCTTAACTCAGTTCTTTCTCTTCCTCCTCCAGGGGACCTGGCATGGTGACCTCACCACCAAGTTCCCATGTCCCCGCCTGGGCTGGCCCCCTACTTGACCTGTAATCCACGACTACGCAAGAGAGTATTCCAGCCACAGCTCTGAGGACAGAAGCAAAATGGCTTCTAGATGGAGTGTCAGGTTTCCCGTGGAGTGTCAGAGACTTCCAGCTATGAGGAGGAGGTTATCTCCTCCTCGTTCCCTCTCTGGCTTCACTCTCAGTCTCTTCCTTGCCCGAAGTGCAGTCAGAGGAGATAGGAAACTTTATGTTACCTGGTACAAGACAACTTTCGGAATCTCAAATATTCAGATTATTTCCCTTTTCCTGCTATGCAGATGATAATACTCACAGCTAAGAGTCTTCACCCTGATTGAAGCCACTTCTCTCCAGCAGTAGCAACGCTGAGTGAGAAAGAGAGTGGAAATCACAGCCTCCAGATTCACAGGCGCCCTTTCTCCTGGTGCTAACTCACTAGGTGAAGGCAATGATACATATGAAATAACGCCATTTGCAAGTGCCTGCTCCTGTCAAATATGATTGATCATTCTTTCATTCATCCATCCAACTATGAATGATTGAAGAGAGGATGAGAAAGTTAACCAAAGTAAAAAGGGGATAGGGTGGAGAGACCATTCTAGATGGTAGGAAGCACACTTTCAGAGGCCCTGAGGGAGGCATGACACACTCAAGGAGCAGAAAAACGGGCTGTGTGGGCACGGCTTGAATCCAAGAGAGCAGAAGGAGGGAAGTGGGGCAGGGGCGTGGTCTGGTTTATTGTCCTTTGACAACCACAAAGACACAGGCGTGTCCCACCAGAACAGGTACAAGCCACAGGCTGGAACAGGGTCTTGGAGCCCACTGCTCTACTAGAAGCTAGATTTGGGGGAGGTCCGGGGATCCCAGAGTGGAAGAAGTTGGGTGGTAGGGGGAGCTTGGGGTAGTGGCTATTAATCTATCAATACAGAAATGTATCATTTTGTAAACAGTTGGGAAAGCTGTCCTGAGCAAATCT